AAATATTAATGTATAAGAAATACTTGAGTAAGAATTGAGAGATGACTGTAAAAGTATTAGCAGACACAGAAGCTTCTATACAATATATTAATAATTATATAATTCAAAGAGTGAAAGAGATCTGCTGAGTGAAGAATCTCTGATGTATAAGATTATCTAATAACTGATATTTGATATTATCTGTAAGAGTAAGAGTTCTCTTGCACTTCAGAGAATGATCTTGCTATATTTAAGCATGAGAGCTGCAGAATGTGAAATATGATCTTATTCTCAGACTCAATTGATTTCAAAGATTCAATCTGCAGATTCAATGATGTACATATCATATACAGTTGACTGATAGAAAGAAAACAGTTCATACAATTCTATCAACTGATATGAGAAGGACATTTCATGTCTCTGATATAGAAGGATTAAATCTGCTTATATATTAACAAGCAAAGAGAATGATTTATGAGATCTCATTCAAAAGCATTCTGTATATCATACAGAATCTAAAAGTGAAGAAAATCAAGATAAAGAATATATAGAAGAATAAGTGTATGAAGAAGCTTCTGAAGAAGTATGAAAAGATCTTCTGAACAGATCTTTCACTGAAATTGTCACTGAAATGAGGATTCATACATGAGATTGACACAGAAGATGTAAAACTAGTCAATCAGAATGTACACTCTCTGTCACAAACATATCTTGAAGAACAGAAGTGTCAGATCACTGATCTTCTAGAACATAGTCTTATATAACTCTCATTAAGTGTATGAGACTTTTCAGTTCTATTTATGAAAAAGACAGATGAGAAGTGATAGATATATATCAATTATCAAGCACTTAATAAGCTTATGATTAAGAATGAATATTCACTGTCACAAATTCAACAACAGTTAAATACAGTTGAAAACATCTAATATCTATTAAAGATTGATCTTCTCTCAGAATACTGACAGATCTGTGTAGATGAACTGTCAGTTCTGTAAACTGCATTTAATATACAATGAGAGAAGTTTGAATTTCTGATAATATTATTCAGACTGATAAATACATCTGTCATCTTCTAAACAATAATAAATACAATTCTTCATAAACAGAATAAAATCTTATGTCTTGTATATCTTAATAACATTCTAGTCTTTTCAAACTTATATAATGAATATCTGAAGCATTTCAATGAAGTGCTTATAACTCTGACAGAGTATAAGCTCTATATTAAATCAATCAAGTGTGTGTTTGAAATGAAAGAGTTGAAGTTCATAGAACATGTAGTGAGTGATAACTGTATATACTTCATTCTGAAGAAATTGAATATCATAGTGAATTAACTGTGACTGAGAAATGTACATCATATATAACAGTTTCTTGAATTGATCTCATATTACTGTAGATTTATCAAGAATTTCACATGAATATCAGTATCACTCTCAGATCTCTTAAGAGAAACAGATACAAATCTGTGAAAGAAGAAGTTTCATTCAATCATCTGAAATGCTGCATGCAAAGAGGCTTTTCTCATACTGAGAGAATATGTAATAATATTCTCAGTGCTTATTTAATCAGATTGTGATAAATCTTTCTATATCAAGACAGATGCATCTGAATGAGCTATCAGAGATACTCTTCTACAGATAAGTAAGAACAGCAAGCTGCATCTGATGATATATGATGATAGAAAACTATTGAGTGCTGAGCTCAATTACTCAGTGTATGAAAAGAAATTGCTAGTGATTAAGCATGTGCTGATGTTATGAGATAGATATATTGATAATAAGTATATAATAACAGTGATTACAGATCATGAAAGCCTTGTCTATCTATAATTAATGATAAAATCTTTCAAACACTTAGTATGTTGAATCTCAGAGTTTCAAGTGTATAATCTTTATATTAAATATTGAAAGAGATCAGATGCTGTGATACCTGATGTAATTAGTTACAGACCTGATTTTATAAGTGAGAATTCTGTGAATCAGATATAAGAGAAGTTTGTGTTAAATGCACTGAGAGAATGCAAGGAATCAGAATGAGTAAATATTATAATCTCTCACTTAAAGAATAATAAGATGTCAGATGATAAGCATCTTATGAGAGTAGTAGAAGAGATGCTTCTGAACTTCAAGCTGATGAAATTGAAAAATGATGTTATGCTTTATCATAATCTAGAATATGTAGAAGCTCTCTATCTAGAATCTTTATTTAGACATAACTTAATGACTCACATGTACAAGGAATTCAGTCACTTAGAAAGCTCTGAACTTATAAGTATACTCAAATCAAGAGTATACTGATCAAGCATGGCTGAGAACATTCAGACATACACTCACAAGTGCCTGAATTACCAGATCATGAAAGAATCTAAGAAAGAGTTAGAATGTGAGAAAGTGTAACATCAGATAAAGTGTATAATATAATCATTCAAATGATGAGAGATGAACCTCATAGATATATTATCACAGATATCAAATGAAAATTGATGAATAATCACTGCTATTGATTATGCTACTGACTGGCCAGTTGTGAAAGCAGTTTCAGAGATGATAGAGAAGATAATAGTGAAGTTTCTATATGATGAGATCTATATCAACTATGAAATATCACATGAGATTCTAACTGATGACAGTGTGAATCTCATAAGAGAAGCAGTGAGGCATTTCATGAGTCAGTTATAGATAAGATATTGTAGAACAATGTTATATCATCTGCAGATGAACAGGAAGATGAAATGCTTGAATGAAATCTTGAACAACATGCTGATGAAATATCTAGTGAGCAAGTCTATGAGACTATGAGATGAATATCTCAGACAGATGCTATTAATCACATGGATTCAACAGCATGCAGTCTCTAAGTGTTCATTATTCTATCTGTTGTATGAATTGCATCCACGCATCCTGGAGAATGCTTTGAAAAAGGTGGAAGAGGAAACAGCAGTTGTGAACACAACAGTCACAGATGCAGCAGAAACAGAAGTTACAGATACAGTAGTAGCAGTTGTAGATGCAGCAGTCACAGATGCAGAATCAAGATTGAAAGAGATCAGCCACGCATGTGCAAAAGCTAACAAGTTACTTCTGAACTGAGCAATCAAATTGAAAAGAATACAAGACTCACTAGTTAAGGAATCAAGTCTCAAGATGAGAACATGAGTTCTCATACATAATGAGAGTTCTGAGAAGTTTCAATCTAGATGGTTTGAACTCTATAAAATACTCAAATCACATTCTCTGAGAACTTATGCATTGAAGAAATCAGAGAGACAGATCTTATATAACTTAATCAATGATTCATAACTTATGAAAGCAAAGATGCAAGATCTGAGTGAATTATAATTATTCATAACACTATTATCAGTGTTGAAAAAGAAGAGACTTATAATTGAAAAGTCTTATGAAGTAAGAGAAATCATAGATACTTATAAATTAGATGATCTCACTTATTCTGATCTTTTCATAATTATAAGAAAAGAATAAGAAGTAATGAAGAAATCAGATAAATATCACACTTCAATAAGTGATAAGACTATAGTCAGTCATACAATAATGCATCACAGATAGCAGACACAATGTGATAAAGAGCAGTCTTAAAGCAGCAGACTTGCATGTGAGTCAGATTACAGAAGAAAAAGAAATTCAGAGTTGAACTTGACTGTTTATATCAGTTCAATCACAGAGATTACAGAGAATGAACTATCTGAAACATCTGCAGATATATAAGACTAAGTCATCTCAATCTCTGAAGACACTCAGAGATCAAGTGAGATTAGTTTTAATAAGCTGTTTACTGTAGTGGTCTGAGCAGGTGAAGAGAGACAGTATAATATATAAGACAGAATTATAAAAGATGAAAGCTGCTGAACCTAGTCATTGAATACTGTATTATATAGAGATTATGTAAGAGTAGTGACTAGCAGATAAAGAAAAAATGTAAGAAAAGAGATAATGAATTGATCATCAACTGTAAGAATCAGCTGTAAAAGACAGATATTATTATATACATCTCATTCATTTTCATATGCTATACATTTAATCTATTTTCAATATCACATCATCTGAAAAATGTCAAAAACAAAGAAAATCTCAAAACTCAAGATTTATAAGGAATTTGAGAACTGTAAGCTGCTCTTGTAATAATGCTGTACATGTCTCTGATTTCTCTATCACTCTGTATATGATATTAATGTCATTTATTACAAGATTGACTGGAATGCCAATATAGAAATATGCATATATATGTGTAGAGAAATTGAAGAAGAGCACAGAACTCACAGAACTAAAAGTCAGAATAGAAGAGATGAAGATGAAAGAAACAGAAGAAGAAGAAGATACAGGACTGAATGAATGATAGTAAGAGCTACTTGAGACTGAACACTTATAACTCAGTGTGCACACAATCTTCTCTGTAGAGAAGAAAGAGAAAGCAATGAGAGAAGCTTAAGAGTGAAAGAAGATAGTCTTAGCAGTATTATTATCTTTGATTAGAATGATTTCTGACACTGAAGTAACTAAGAATCATTGTTAGCATATGAAAATTACAAAATCAGAGATGAGAACAGTTACTGAATAAATACCTGCTAATCTTAGAGTTATAAATGTAATTACAATACATACAAGGCTTCTCAGAAAGAGAGAGAGAGACATGAGAGAATGTAGAAAGCAGAATACAGTATGTAAACAGCTCATTCTCATGATGACATCTCAGACAAGATGTACAAGCCTCACATCTGCAGGTGTAAAAGAGTATGACATTCATATTTCTGTTTCTGAAAACATGAATATCTTTTATCTGCATCATGAAGTCAGATGACAGATATCAGAGAATAGGCTGATACAGATCTATTATTCTGAAGAAATTCATCAGAGTAAATATTCTCACAATATTGAACTTTATAATTGTGAAAAGTTTCTTAGTATCTGTGAATATCATGACTTCATACACAGTAAAACTCATAACAATTTCTTCTAAGAATAGAAAAATCAGTATTAGAAAGAAAAGATGAAAAAGAAAAAGACTTATAATCTTGATACTGTTGAAGAGAGAAGTGATTCTCTGATATGAATGAATAATTATCTTATCATGAATATTTAAAATAAATGTAATAATCAGTATCTGTGACTGAGCTTCAGATAGTTATATTATACACAGTCTTTATATAATAAATTGTTCTAGAAGTCAGCAGAAAGAGTGAGAGTGTATACACTGATAAATATAATTCATTAAGTCTATGCAACATCTTCTTGAAATAAAGAGAGCTGATAATGAAAGCAGAGACAGCAAAATTAGAGAGAGTAGAAGTGGTGAAAGTAAGAGTCACAGAAACAGAGATAGCAGGAGCAGGAGAACCAGACATAGAGACAGATGTAGAAGATTGAGAGACAGTAGCAGAAGAAGCAGAGAGGGATATGAAAGACCTGATCACATATGACACAGACAATTTCTTCATTATCACATTCTTCAAGTTCTTAATCAATAATTCAATATTGAGTTCACTATTATCAGCAGATGCAGATCTGTCAATATGTAAAGATTCTATATAAATAAAAACAAACATCAGTATCTGTATTCATGCAAAATCATGTTAGAAAACATGATCAGAAACCTGCTGAGAAGAAAAATAGTTGAGAATATATAAGAAGATAAAGAATGTATATTATTCATGATAGTATGTTCTGATAATTGTTAGAAGATAAATAAGTTCTGATTATGTTTCACAATGTGTTACACTTACTGCTAACAAACTACCTGATATGAACACTATGATGACACTTGTTATAAGAATGAGAGGCCATTGCCAGGAACATGTACAATGTGATAGATAAACAGATAAAAGATGTGAATAGAAGAAGAGGCAGTAATCTGAGATGAAATGATAATGACATTCAATGATGATGATGATAGAGAAGATGATTGAAGAATGAGAAAAGTTAGTGAATAAGTGATGTAATATAGTGAAAGTTTCTTTATAATTGTGAATACTAGTGACATGCTAATCTGCATGAAGCTAGGACAGATATCATGATTATGTGAGTGTGACTGAATCTGATAGGAGAGGATGTGGTTCAGAAGAACATATGACTGTCAGATAATAACACAGCCGCTTCTGAACTTGCTTATGAGTGTAAAGAGGCCATAGCGGCCGCTAATTAATTTAGTGTATGATATATAAGAAGCCGGTGTACACCTGAAATCGTACACTGGCTCAAGCAACCTTTGAATCACATGACTACTTATTTAAAGAGATTATAACATGTTCAGAATACTGTAAGTTATTCATCTTCTTCAGTGATATAAATCTTATAAAATATAATAATAATATCTGACTTTATAAATCATTGAGCTTGTCTGATATAAGCTAGAATTTCATTGATAAGAGATAAAGAATAGCAGTTCTTCTTAATTAATCTATTCAATTCTTAATAGTTTATACAGAATTGATGTGATGGGCTGTGCCTGATCAATTATATAGACTATTTCATTACACTTCATAGATTTCTACCACTCTGATTCTCGGTCACTGATTCTCAGCTAAAAACCTATGAAATTTCTATTCTTCCGCCCCGAAGCTTCACCGTGTATGAAAACCCCTATTCTTCCACCCCGAAGTTCCACCGCATACACTACTGTGTACATGTATAAATATTCACTTTAATCACTGATTCTCACACTTTCTCTTTCTTTTCTTCTCTAACATTTTTCTCTTCATTATATAAGATCTATCAATATCATATCAATCTATTCAGTGTAGGCCTCTTATACTAGAAAAACATTCATCATTTTCTTATTAAAAATGATTATTCACATATCATCTCCTCATTAGAAATAATTACTCACTGAGATATTCAAACATGTAACAACATGTAAGAAATAGAGAAACAGTTAAATAGTTAAGCAGACACTGAGTTTTCAGATAGAAGCTTGCTTATCAGTCACTCTGACTCTGTAACAAGATCTTATGAAGAGAACAAGATTTTACAAAGAGAATATCAGTGAAAGATCTGAGAGTTCTGACACTACAAATATATGAAATATTCATACAATTACACTTCTTCTGATTTCACAGATATTTCACATCTGATAAATGATATAATCATGTCTAACAATAATATAAGAGAACTCTTGAATATGAGTATAGATGTGATACCACAGTGACTTTGAGCAATGTTGAAATTACAATAACAATAAATAGCTGATATGCATGCAACTTAATAACATCAATATGAAGAAATTCAATGATTATCTCAACAAGAAACCTTCATACAAACAATTTCAATACTAACAGAATCAAATACAAAAGTGTTGAAAGAACACTTAGATACTTCTGTATATTTTAATGCTTCTGATCTCACTCTCTACTCATCATGAAGAATGAAAATACTTACAAAACTGAGTGTGAATAAAGATATTATTAGTTCACTAATCAATCAAGATTAATATATCAATGAATGATTGAAGAATTGCATGAAATAGAAGTTTCATTCATGAATAAAAGCATGTGAACCAGCATTGCAAATGCCTGATAACATCATCAAACATCTTAATGTTCTGTTTCAAAACACTGTCATGTAACAGAAAGTGTTAGATTGATTACAGAGCATCTGACAGAGAAATACTTCTCTTACAACATTCATCTCTGACTTTGACATTAAAATCTTAGAAGCAGATAATCAATCTTGAAAAGATTGAATGAAGATTAGTATACTTAAGAAGACATTAACTTTTGAACTCTTACAGACTCTTATAAGTGTAAATAAAGACTTAATCTATAAAGGCTTCTGCACACACCTTCAGACATTGAATGACTGTCTTATCAAGCTCAAGAGTATACAGAACAGTGATAGAAGATATTACACTCACACACTCACACTGAGAAATAACTCAGTCACTCATACATCTGTGCTGAGAAACAACAACAATGATGCAGATGCTATGAACTGAGTAGACTTAAATATCTATACATAAGTAAGAGTCTTCACTATTTAAACAGACTTTTAAGTCTCTGAGATCACTTCTGAAGAAGTTGCTGATCAATGTTAATGAGAAGTGTGTATTAACTGTAACTGATCAGAGTACATTGTTTTCAACTGTCAATCAGTCTATATATCTTCTTACTCAAAGAATGAATCAACATCTATTAGACTGATCACTGAGATTATGCATTTCACATTTGATTTCATTTAGTCTGATCTCATACATTTCTTAGCATGAGTCTCACCAGAACCAAGCCTTAAAAAAATCTGAAAATGAATCATTTCTGAGAGAAATGATATGAAAAATGATCAGATTTAATTCAAGAACAGTAAAATAAGAGTAATTTCTCAGAATAAACTATAAAAGATAATTATTCTTTCAAAATCAGAATAAGACTGAGACTGAAGATTAAATTCAGTCTCATTCAGTTCATTTAGTGATTACTTATATAATCAGAATTTGATAACAATTATTAATAATGCTTATAAAACAACTAAATATATTCTTATACAAGTTTATTCTTCACTTTCTTATGAAAACTACACTTCTCTGATATACTGTGATCAGAGATATTAAACTATCTGATAAGTTCATATTTTATAATCATGAGTTTCTTGATTATTTCTTCTTATAATTGTTCTCAGTGATAGTAATAAATATCTTAGCTTGAGTTAAACTTTTGCTTCATTCTTATCTCTGTCAATGAAATTATCAGAATATCATATATCATCAGTGCAACAGTTAAATATATACTCTTAATAATTTTTCATAACTCTAGAATTGATTTAGTATGTAAATTTATTAAATTATCTTAAAGATAGTGATTAAATTCAGTTTTACAAGTATATAGTTTTATCTGATTTTCAGTTATAATTAATATATACAAGTTCTGTTTCAAAATTAGTTTTATAGTTCTATATAATATGAAGAGTTATCAAAGATTATTACTTACTAGAGAATTATATTTCACTGTCTTTACATCTCTAACATCTACTCATTCAAATCTCTGATAGTTGATATTATAGTAGTCTCAGACTAATTTAATATATAAGTCTTATTTCTTCTCTATTCAATCTTAAGAAGTGTAGATATTAATACAATAAAAGAGATCTAGTAGAGCTGCTATAGTATAATACTCTGTAAAAGATTGTTCAGTTTTACTGTAGTAATATACTAGTTTATTTCTTATAGTAATAATAGTCTGCACTATAGTATTATTCCAGACTGAATTTCTTATTGAGTGATTTAACTGCTTCTCAAGATGAGTAAATAAACTATTATATATTTATCAAACTGACTGCAGTATTGATGTATAAGTGATTAAGACTGTCTTTATTATCTTATAAAACTGAAACAGTAAATCAATCACATATTTTAACTAAGTTCACTTTATATCAGAAAGTTTCAATATCTGAATCTTTTTCTAATGAGAGTGTTGCACTCAATGATTAATTATCTGATATAGTTAAAGAGTCTGAATAGTTATCTTATATATTAAACTTCAGTATATTCTAATATTCTGTATCATATTCAGTGATATGACTGATTTATTTATTTATTAAATATTATGAAATTATTATTATTGTTTAGAGAAGATATAAATTGTATTAGTAATGTTTTAAATCTATGATATTTAAATTATCAGTCAATCTATTCAAAATTAATAGTAGTATTATCAAAAAGCATTATGAAAAAACAATATTAAAAAGTGTTATTAAAAAATATTATCTTTTATAAAGTGAATATAAAAGTTACTTGAGTAATTACTTTCATCTTATTCTTATTTCAAGAATCAGTTGTCTCATTATTCTTCATCTCAATGTTAAGATTCTTTATCAGTGTTTATATCACAAGTTGAATCACATGAGTAATACAGAGAATATAACCTTATTTATTATTTCAGAAATACAAAGTCAATTTTTACTTCAAACTCTTTATTATAGTGTAGTTATTCGCAGTATTATCAGTTATAATTATAAGAAGACTGAGACTAATATCTTAATAGTCATTTTTAATCACAGTTATTAATATCTCTATTATATAATTCTCAGTATAACTACTGATTAATGATTCAAATTCAATTAATATCTCTTAATAAGTTCAGTTCTTATCAATATAATAACATATAACTCTTATAAATGTAAGATTGTTTATACTAGTTTATACATTCACTATAAGAGATACTCTTCAATGATTCTTCAACTCTGATTCTAGATATTATATATTAACTTTATAGTGTGTCTTGAGATTGAACTGAAGACAGAATTGATATAAAATATGAAGATTTGAATTGAGTATTTAAAGAAGTGTTCAGAATTCAAAGTTTTCAATTAATTAAAGAGAAAGATTCAGAGATATATATATATAAAGTAATTATTCACAGAAGTTATTAGATAAGAGTTGTAGAATCAGAGTACTGATATATAATTATTTTCACATGATTTTCTTCAAATTAGAAAGTTAGTGTTATTAAAAATTATTATCTGATAGAGTAACTTATCAGCTCAGTAGTTATTTTCTGATTAGTTTTCTTTTATTATCTGCATTCTGATGACTTCAGATGTCAGAAAATTCCTTCAGAGCTATAAT